ATAACAAAAAATGCCATTCTAAACTGTGGTGGTGCACTGGTATTAATTTTCTTTCACAATTTTGGGTGTGCAAGAAATATTACATTTGTATTCTGCAAATAGGATTGAATCATTATTGGGATTTCCTCTCTCAACCTAAGACTCTGCAAAGGTAACTTGGATGTTAGCAGAGTAGAATTTTGGGGCTGGGGGTGGGGAGGGAACCAAGGCCTTCAAAAATAAGCACTCACAGGTAAAATAAGCCTTCCCAGCGGCAAGGGAACGGAGAACCTGGGTGGCCGGAGGCGGCCACTGCCCATGTTTCCCGGTGACATTCAGCAGCGAGGGACCCAACATAAGCTCACACCTCGATGGACGCTCTTGCCACGTGCGGTTATGGCCAGTGCTTCTTCCCACTGGCCCCAGTGATCTCTTGTCCACGGGTGGCCTCAGTTAACATTCTAACACTTGTCGTGGGGACGCAACGTCTTATTTCGGGCTCTCCCAGTCCCTCAGGGATGGCCCTTTGCCGCAAAGGTGAGGACGAGCGGGCCAGGGCACAGAGCAAAAGTGGTTAAAGTCTTCAGTTCCTGATTAAAGGGTGTGGAGGAAAGGAGCAGGGTCTTCCGGGAAAAGGAGTGACAGCCAGAAAGTGTGGGCCTCGGAGGTGGAGCAGCCCTGGCGCCCGTCTTCTTCCCCTGCTCGGTCCGCTCCGTGCGGGCAGCCTCCCCCGCCGCAGGGTGGAGGCCGGCGGGAGGCCCGAGAGGCCGGGCCCGGCAGCCTGAGCCGCGCAGGGGCAGCGGCCACGTTCTCCAGAGTGAGAGACTCCGCGCACCTGGAAGCCCCTGAGTGGGCTGGTTCTTGAGGAAACTTCGGATTATGTATAGAGGGGGATAACGTTCAGCTCCCCAAGCTACTCAGGTCTCGCCCAATTTCCTCTTCAACTCCCCCACCCCTCAACAGGTGAGTGCCCCTCGCCAGGTATGACAGGAAAGAGACGGCGCAGAAGCGGCCGTCTGTCCGGCTGTAACGCGATCCTGCCGCCCGCCCGCCGGCCCGGCCCGGTCTGCCAGGGCCTCCTCCGCAGCCCGGGGAGCCTGAAGACGGCCCATCGGCTGCCGGTGCCCCGCACCCCCGACCCCGCCACAGCCCCCGCCCGGGGCAGGGACGTAGAAAACATGCTGGGAGAAGGCAGGAGGATTGTACGGGTGAGTGGATTTGGAGTGACATAACTCTGGTTAAAACACACACACACACATATAACATATAACATATAAATTACATTTAAATTGTATCTACATATAAACTACCTATACTCACCAATCTCTCCCATTCCTTATTTCTCTTATCCTTCCTTCTGGTATTGGGTTCTCTTCCTGAAGCTTTTTCAATGTAAATTTGAAATAATCATTTTGCCCTTTTGCCTTAGAGAGAATTTGCTTTTGAATCAGGAGCTTTGGGGTCAACAACTTCACGCAGGCATAGCTCGGCCTGGCCTGCTTGTTTTTTCCCTCGTCTACTTCTCCCTATACACTGGGACCCAGGGCCCGTCCTCGCTGCATCCTCTTCCTACTGCTCACTGCCCCGGGTCCCTTCCTGCCCCATGTCCCAGAACCCAGGACGCAGCCCTCTCAGTGGAGAGCTGCGATGGTCAAGGGGGCCTGAGAAAGAAGAGGGAAAGGGGAGGCAGAACAGGGAACCTCAGTGCGGGGCGTAACAGCAGAAGAGATCATGGTTTGGGGTGGCAGTTAAGGGAGTGGACTTTGGAGATGAACTGCCTGGTTTCAACCCTTAGCTCTGTGCTTTGGGATGAGACAGGTAAAATCCCTGGTTCCTCAAATTCCTAATCTGTAAAATGGGGATAATAAAGGTACCTATTTCATAAGCTGTTATGAGGATTAAATAATCATATAGATGAGCATGCAAAATGCTCAGAACAGGGCCTGGCATATAGTAAGCACTCAATAAACATTAGAGATTATAAATAGGGGCCCAGGACCTATATTTTTAAATGAAATAGGGATATATCACCATTGAGGCTATTTTTAGATATCTTTGAACTACAAAAAAAGGGAAGAAATTGTGAATTTAATTACGAAAAATTCACAATAATGAATGTGGCTATCTAGTGCTATTTGACTAATTTTTATTTCCAAAATAATTATTAGGTACTTTATTAATATGTCAGATAAATTTTGTTTTAAGATTTGACCATACATTTGACCAGGCTTTTTTAAATTGCAAATTATTATTCACAATTTATTAAAAATAAAATATATACAGATTACATATTAACCCAGTTTCACATCCTTCCCTAAACTCTAAATATACATTGTGTGAGTGTTTACTCTTCTACATTTATTAAGCAACACCACTGCCTTTAGCTATGTAAAGTGGGATAAAGACTTGAAATAAGGTCAGTATCTGGATAATGTAAGAGACTGGGAAGTGGGGGTATAAATCGTTAGTTAAAAGTTGGATTTTTCAACACTAAGCAAACTGGAGGAATCACATTACCCAACTTCAAATTATCCTATGAGGCAATAGTAACCAAAACATGGTACTGTACACACATAGATCAATGGAACAGAATAGAGAACCCAGAAATAAAGGCAAATACCCGCCACCAACAGATCTTTGACAAAGCAGACAAAAACATACATTTGGGAAAGGATGCCCTATTCAATAAATGGTGCTGGGAAAATTGGGTAGCCACATGCAGAAGAATGAAACTGGATCCCTATCTCTTGCCATATATAAAAATTAACTCAAGATTGATCAAATGCATAAACATAAGACCTGAGGAGTAGATAAAGAAAATGTGGTACATACACACCATGGGATGCTACTCAGCCGTAAGAAAGGATGAAATAATGTCTTTTGCAGCAACCTGGATGGAACTGGAGGCCATTATCCTAAGTAAAGTAACACAGGAATGGAAAACCAAATACCTTCACTTATTAGTGGGCTAAGCTATGGGTACACAGGCCATACAGAGTGGTACAATG